TTGTTAGGCGTTAGAGATGGGGGGATTCCGGGGAGGAAGAGAAAGCAACTGCGTTAGAAACCCACATAAAGCCAGGTCTTGAGAGGCAGTGACCGTGAGCCCTGCGGAGGCTCCGAGAGCTTCAGATTGGCCTTTTCTGCTCCTTTAAATGGCAAAACGCTCCATTTCCCCGTGAGAAACGGCAGGATTGTGCACCAGATTTCATGTTCCAATGGCTATAAGGATTTCCTCAAAGCACTCACATTTGCATTCTTCCTAAAGCACTGGCTTTCTGGATTGAAAAAGCCTATATTTAAGCTTTTCCTCAAACTGGAATTTGTGGAAAATTTAAGCAAAACTCCTTATTCTTTAATGGGTTACATGCAAATGAACATAAATAGGTCCCGGCTTGATTGCATGACATGGCAGCCTGCGAAAAGTCTGCCATTTTTACTCTTCTTGAAGGTCTTACTCATGCAAGTAATCCTCATCAGTCCTACTTACCATGAGTAGGGGTTAAAAAAACCAAGAAAAAACAGACTGGAACATGTATATCCTTTTTGACAGACAGATGGTCTCATTTCTTGTGGCATCACTGACAGAAGAATGTGCAGTCCCTGTGCTCTCCAGAGAAGGAGGCAACATGGAGAGAAGTCCTGCAGCAACACCAGTGCTGAGATAATCTTTGAGAGGAAGATTAATAATATTTAATTAAAAATGCACAGAGCAGATGCTCTGCCTCTCTGCCAGAAACACCCACTCACCACCACTGTTACTCAAATTAAACTGTAGCTTAGTTTGGGGACTGGAGGGAGCAGCACTCATGAGCATGAACACTGCCTGCATTTGAGGCTATCTGTGATTTTGCTGCCGTTCCCAGCTCTATGCTGAGAGTGCAGACCTTGTTTGAGAAGATAAAGCAGAAATTTGACTGAGCCCATTTCATGCTGCTACCTACAGGCATATTTCTGGGTAGCCTAAAATTCCTGCAGGGTTTCAGCTCAAATTAAACTACATTTACAACATTTGTGGTTTGTGCAGAAAACCTCTGAAGTCCTCTTCATCTCCCAGCTGCATATCACTCTTATAAATAATAACAGCAATCAAAAGCTGAGTGGTTTGACCCCATGTGCATCTCCCCATTCATCATTCCTCAGGCAGCTCCTGAGGTCCCTGGATGCACAGCAGGGCCTGGGAAGAGGGCAGACTTGTCCTGGTGGAAGCCAGATGCCCAGTTCCCACTGCATGAAAATGTTTTGATAATGGCTAAAAAAATATCACCATCTGTTATTGTAGGCTGCTGATAACAGTAGAATACTGTAACTAGTGTGAGATATGAGCCCAACTGAACACAGGAGGCTTTGAACTCAGGTAAATACAAAGCATTTCTTTGGACTAAATGTATGTATGCTTTGGCATACAGCTGTATTATGATATATATCCCTACAGGGAGTGTTCTGCTGTATTAGGAAAACAGTTTAAGTGATATCATCTGAAGCCACACATTTCTCATGCCTTTAAATAAGCCAGCTCTAGCAGCCTGGTGCAAGGGTGTACTTATTTTCAGGTTTAAGTCTCAGGCTTCTCTTCTCTGTAACATTTTCTTAAAAGAACAATCAGTGATTGATGTGCTTGATGAAATGCTAAAGATGTATATTGAAATTGGATATTAGCCCATCCATGCTGCATCTTCTAGTTCCAGTTTCCTGTTTAGAAGTTAACTATTATATCCTTAACACTTGAGGAGTTTGATTTACATTTCTTTTTTGTTTGAAAATATTTAAATTTAAATAGCAATTGGAGACCTGAAAGCCTAGCACCCTGTTCTTCAATTCAGTACATCAGCCCTGCATATGTGTTTTCCCCAGAGCACTGCAGCTCGTGAAGTTCCAATATCCTCAAACTGCCGTTCCAGGGAACTGGGGTTTTTGAAGGGAGAAAGAAAAGCCCAGCTTAGGTGACAGTAACATTCAGAGCAGCTTTATTCTGCATTCACTTGAAAATCCACATGAAAATCCACTTTAGCTGTACCCTAGTTGTGTGTAACATACATGCATGAAATCTCCTGGAGCACCAGCACACGACTCCAAACTGGAAGGACAGCAATGGTAGACACCATTTATCTGTGTTGTTTTAACTGCACAGTATTTAGTCTTGATGTTTTCAGTTCTGTCCAGTAAGTAATTACACAAATTCCTCCTGCAGGCCTCTCAGAGTAAGAGAATTTGCCTTTCTACTCACCAGTGACAGCCTCAGTCTGGCTCTGGTTGCCAAACCCAGCTCCTTCATTGAAGTGGACAGGAAAGCAGCTGCTCACACCGTGCCCGAGCTGAGCAGCAGGGAAGCAGGCACCGCGGCAGGACAAGCTGTGCACGGATGGCCCGGCCACCAGCTGCACTTCGTACCAGCCTCTGCGGCTCCGTCTTGAGCAGCACCCAGATAAAGGCAGCCAGGGGCCCCCCGTGTTGGGTGGGAATGGTTCAGCTGAAGACACATTGTGGCGGCAAATCCGCAGCTGGCGGGGAAGGTCACGAGCGCTGTGCGGGGTGTGCGGCTGGGGGTGTCGCGAGGTGCGCAGCTCCGTGGGCAGCACCGGGGCAGCCGCGGCCCGGGAGGCTCCGAGGGGAGCTGGGGGGAAGGCGGGGGGTTCCTGCCTGTGGGGCGGGGATGGCCCGGCAGGGACGTGTGCGCAGATGTGCTCTCACAGCTGCAAAGGCACCAGCGAAGCGCTGCCCTCGTCCCCGCGTGGC